ATTAGAGCACAACTGTCCACACAGCATAGCACCTGCCCACACAGGATATCAGAACATCTGTCCACACAGGACATCATAGCATCTGACCACACAGGATATTAGAACATCTGCACGACCATATAGGACATCATAGCATCTGCTCACACAGGACATCATAGCATCTGTCCACACAGGACATCATAGCATCTGTCCACACAGGACTGTAACTGGCGGCTGTCCTGGCCCACATATGACTGTATTCTATATATGTATGTATTCTGACTGTGTCACATTCGTTCCCGCCATCAACATGGGTAGAACGCAAACTGTATTTTGCGTTGGCTAACCCCATATAAGCAATAACTGACTGCCAAAATTTACACCGCTGTTCTCGCTTACATGTATATTTTCCTTCCGGCGAGACTAATTTCAAATATTCGAACTCGGATCCGGAGAATCCGCATTTATAGAATTTACAGCAAATAATTAAGAAAATAAAAGTACAATATTTAGACCAGATAATACCTGATTTCTTTCATCGAATACATGTACAAATAGTTCAGACATTGTTTGATATATACAAAAATGTAAAATATACAAAAGTATGGTTGGGACTGTGACATAGGGACAGAGTGGCACCAGACTTGTGGTAAATGACAATTTAACCATGATTAGATATCAACACTTAATTGTTAAGACAAGTGATTCTACCATCTTAAGATGCCATGGTGTGGGTACCTGAAAGTCTGCGGGTGACCTTTAACAATCCCCTTTTGTCCGGCGTGGTGCTTGTAAACTTTTAACATGTTAGACTTCTAGAAAACTCCTGAACTGATTTTTAATGAAATTTTACAAAAACCTTCCATGGCTAAATTAAAATCTTTTGGTCCCCAATCCCCAGGGGCCTGAAGGGCAGGGCCAAAAAGGGTCAAATTGATTGAAACTGCTAGAATCTTCTTCTCTAATCCTAGGTATGGTAGAATCAAATACTCTTCATGGATGGAAAGGCCTTCAGGCTTAACCAAAGTTGTAAATCTTATGACTACAGGTCTCACATTTCCCCTTGGGATAAGGGCTGTTTGACAATTGTCAATTTATCTTCTTAATATACATAAAGTCGAACCAAATACTCTTCATGGATAGATGTGTCTTACAGTGTTTTACCAAAACTGTATTTTCATGACCTCTTGGTCTCGCATTTCCCCTTGGGAAGGGGGTAAAATTTACTATAGTGTATATTGGAAAATTACATTTTTTTGTTTACTTTCTTTAAGAAATAGTTTAAACTTGGTTAGAAATATCAGTACAAGCTGACAGTTGAATGAGATGCACATATTGACCTCGGCAGACCCCAAGGAATCAAAATTGGGTCAAATTGTCTTATATTTCAAAGATGTTCTACTCTTTTCATTGATTGAAGGCTGTATAACGGAAAATTTAATTTTTGAGTTGAATTTCTTCTAATTCAAACTCGGTGAGAAGCCTTAGCCTGAAACAGCAGTCTAATCCTAGGTATGGTGGAATCAAATACTCTTCATGGATGGAAAGGCCTTCAGGCTTTGCTATGATGTGTACAGTGTAGTTAAAATTATCTTTTTTTCATAACAAAATTATTTCTAGGAAATATTACAATAAGCGTTGTAACTCTTGTAACCGTTTTGTTCAATAGGAAGAGATTCCATTCAACCAATCGCTTCGTAGAACTCTCATGTAGCTGATTAGCTAGGTGTAAGATTTGCAATTGAAATGTTTCGAACATTTGTTTTGTTCTGATCAGTCTTAAAATTGAACAAGCATAACTACACATGAACGAACGATTGCGTATATTGACTTTGTAGTTAAGGCGTTATACAATGGATTTCATTTGGAGCACTGCAACCCAGTGTGGAACCCACATTTCGTCCAACGGTGAAACCATGGAAAACACTAAAAGAAGGACGATAAAAATGCTACTAGGAATGTTCTCCAGAGAGACCAGATAGGAATTTTTAAAATCAGTAACATGTCGGGAAATATAAAATTGTATGAATCTTTTAAAAATAATGACAGAAAAAAAACGGGATCTTGAAGTCACATAATTTATTTCGCCTGAACATCGAAGGAAAAAAAAATATCATTAACATGATCTTTTAAACAGCCAACCAGAAAAAATAGTCATGGAAACAGTAGTTAGGTTTTAGATGTTTGATTATCGACATCATACATGAATAATAAAGCGAATTAAAACAAACATTTAATCACCGAAACGTGATATTCATCAGAATCTTGCTTTCTACAAACATGAGATATCTAGGTTTCGGTCCTCGCTGTTGGCTCCCCGAGCGCCGTTCTGCTGCCATATTTGCTTACCATTAAAGCGTTCATCTTGTATTTGTATAAAAGCAAGATACAATACTTATATTTCAGTTAAGTCGGGTGTTTTTAATATTTCAAACAAATACAAGTCGACAGTTACTAGAATTTGTGCAAGGCTAACAGATTGCATTCAAAATTATCGTCCGACATTTTAAATTGATGTATAATCAAACAGTATGTTCAGGCAAAAGACGATTATACAACACATTAAGATATATAAAACAACATGATTGAAATGTAATAATTGATTTTGTCAATTATCTTTGAATTCTTAATTTAAATTTTCCGACACCTCCGCGGAGGAATAATGTCCATATTCGCTTCGGTCTGGGCTGCAGGCATTTTGAAACTGTGATGGAGTGTGTTTTGTGACCTCTGTCGGTAATCAAGAAGCAATTCTATATCAAAATCGCTCTCAGGACGCTTGGTCTTGTGGAGATTTTAATGCGGTGGAATGTTAATACATTTTGTAGCAGACGACAACATTTCCAAGGTCTAAAGCAGCTATGGAAAACAAAATTGTTCTGAAAGGGATCAAATTGACTCAGATTTCAAAAATCTTCTTCTCAGAACCCAAATTTTATGGCCCCAGGCTCTCACATTTCCCCGTGGAGAGGGGGTAAAGTTTACTATAGGTTATAAAGGAAAAATAGATTTTTCAGCATAATTTGTTTAATTTCCAATGGAAATATTTCAAACTTAGTTAGAATTATGAGTGAAGGATGACGGCATATTGGTATGGCCATATTGATCCTAGCTGACTCCCAAGGGCTGATGGGCGGGTCCAAAAGGGGTCAAATTGATTTAAATTTCACTTTTCACTCAACACCCCGGTATGGTGGATTCAAATGCTCTATATGAATGGAAGCATCTTAAGGTGCTTTAATTACCAAATTAAGTCTCATATTTTTCCCTAGGGAAGAAGTTTACTATAATTTTTATAGAAAAAATTACATTTTTGAGCAGTACATTGGAAAATACTTTGGAAATAACTTTGTAAGAATGATAAATATAGGATGACAGTTTTGATGATATGCATGTATTGACATTGACTTACTATAGTCACAAATTCTTTTTCATGACACTTGAAAGTTACCCTCGAACCTTTATATTCAATATCGTTTATCTCAGGTGACCGTCAAGATCGCTTGGCCCTATGTTAATTCATATTCTGCAAATCTGGGATAAATTTGATTACTTTTATTTACAGTTATGCCGCAACATATATGTGTTTGTCTCAGGTGACCGTCAAGATCGCTTGGCCTAATGTTAATTCATATTCTGCAAATCTGGGATAAATTTGATAACTTTTATTTACAGCTATGCCGCAACATGCATGCGTTTATCTCAGGTGACCGTCAAGATCGCTTGGCCTAATGTTAATTCATATACTGCAAATCTGGGATAAATTTGATTACTTTTATTTACAGCTATGTCGCAACATACATGTGTTTGTCTCAGGTGACCGTCAAGATCGCTTGGCCTAATGTTAATTCATATTCTGCAAATCTGGGATAAATTTGATTACTTTTATTTACAGCTATGCCGCAACATACATGTGTTTGTCTCAGGTGACCGTCAAGATCGCTTGGCCTAATGTTAATTCATATTCTGCAAATCTGGGATTTGACAACTTTTAAACAACATAATGATCCTTAACAACATTAACAAGATCATCAAGATGTAAACTTTTGTTGAAACATCTATTCGATAAATATAATGTTTGATTAGAATTCAGATTTCCTTATCAACTGAACTGGCATGTGTTGATATGATTCCAAATAGAAATGATTCTTTATTGGAAGAGAATACAATAAATAGAATATAAAGAAGATTTTCAAATTCCTGAAATAACCCTTGCGCATTCTAGATTACCATAAGCAGTGAATTAATGTTTCTGGTTCATTATTACAAAAGCTACATAGTGAATTAGAAGAGATTTTCCTCTTAAAAAGAAAGGCATTTGATATGATGTATAATTCTCACCTGAAACCACTGCAACCTTGAACGTTATGAGGTTTTTGAGACTGTAAAGGGAATTTCAAAAATCTTTTCCCATTTAACTTAATCAAAGAATATAAAGATTTTCTCAATTTTTGACTTAAATAATCTTCGAACTCATTCAAGTTTCAGAGATTCCATGAAAGTTTGAAAATCAATAATTTTAAAACCCCCATCCAAATCATGTTGAATAACATCTCTTTTTATCTTATATGGTCCTTAATTCTAAAGAAAATAAAAAATGAGATAACTCAATTTTCTTATACATCACTCTGTAGGGTTTGGTAGAGTAATAAACAGGTAGTTGAGCTGAAATATCAACAAAGATCTTATGACACGTGTAAGACTCTCCACTGACCGCTACTCCTCTTGTTTACATATTGGTTAACAGCTTTGAGAGCCAGTGGTGAAAGGTCAAAATCTAGAACGTGGGCAAAGAGGTCATCGGTCAATGTTGGCGGGGCGCTGTACATTATGCCACGTTGTACTGAAAGAGGATCATCCCGATATACCTGGTGAGTAATTCGTTATTCCTATTCTGAAATGACCACTTCTTGGTAGTATACCGATACCAATGCTACTGTAAATATATATACACAAACCCTTTCGTTTATAACAATGTAATTAATATCGATGTAGGTGAAACAATCGAGCAACTGGTAAGAATGGATGACAAAACGATGCAAGGCTGGCTTAACTGTTGGGAGAAAAAAACTATTCCCTGGCACCACACTGACGTCCACGAAACTATAGAGAAGTATTATGAAATATTGGCAGCGTCACCAACAGCCAAGAACAAAATCTTCATACCACTGTGTGGGAAGACTGTAGATATCAAATATCTGGTAGACCGCGGGAACGAGGTTGTGGGACTGGAAGCTTCCGAAATAGCAGTGAGAGATTTCTTTACAGAACAAAATATCGAATACACCTCGGAGGACGTCCCTGCCGTGAAAGGAAAATTATACCGGTCAAGTGACAAAATGATAAAGATATACTGCTGTGACCTGTTTTTATTTTCTGCTGAAGTAGAATCTGGATTCAGTGGTATCTGGGATCGAGGCTCTATGGTTGCTCTATCACCTGAAGCCCGGAAAAGATATTTCGAGATAATGAAAACACTAACATATCCAGGGATAGGTTACTTGCTCGAAATGCCAGATCGGGATCCCAAAAATGGACCTCCATTTTTTGTTCCGTTTGACGACCTCGAACGAGGATTTGAGCAAAAGTGTAGGGTAACAAAGCTCTTTGCCACGGAAAAATTGCCACCGGGACTGGATGGTGAAAAAATGCCGGACCTGAAAGGCATGGTTGTTTTCCGTCTTGCTTTTCAATAAGAATAACATGTATTTTTACCAGAACATTTATATTCATTTGAGTCGTCTGATGTTTTAAATTCATTTCAATGTTATTTATTTCCATAGCGTATGTTATGTACAATATATGGTAACACAACGCAGTGTTGATAACATTTCATCAACAAAGTCTCGCAGATTTGATTCAAAGAAAATAAAATGAAGAGTCAATCTTTTTTTTAAGTATTGTATAGTGGAGCGGGTTGAAAAATGTGTTCTATTTCTCTGGCATGTCTTACAAACTTTTCGTCGTTGACACCAGTACATAAAAGAAAGTGAATAGTACACTTTAATGCAAATTTATCACCATCATATAAGTAATTCGTCCTGCTACAACTCGTCAGTGATGCTGAGGACCGAAATTGTTTGGCCTATGAAGCGACGGAGAAAAATCCAAATTGATCGAAACATACGTAACAAATTAAATGAAGAGATGGGCTAGTCCCGATACGCAACCTATTTAGTAATTTTCTGTATTGAATGATATCAAAGAACGTTGAGCACATCATGGACCGTGCCGCTATTCGAACGAATTAAATCGTGTAATGCAGGCTACGGACACGATGAGGACAAAAAAATCCACCAGCATTGTCTCTCCTCATCTGTAATATAGAAGACTGTATATAAGAAACACACGTGAATAGAATTTGTAGGGGATAGAAATTAAGAATTAGAATTGGATGTTACGCCACCGACATACTTGCAGGTAAACACAGAGAAGCATTGGTCATGAAAAAGGTGAACGACAACCAAAGGAACTGGATCTTTACATAATATTGATTGCTAACGTGTATTATTGACATTGCATTGTCGTAGGAAGTTGTCAAAATCTTGCGGAGTGAGGTTTGGGTTTGGTTTCTTCGAGAATCCTTAAAAAGTAGAGAATCCTGTAATATTTACGCGAAATTAGTCAGTTACACGCACCAGTCTTCATTTCAATGTATCCATTGTATGCATGGTGTACCATTACAGAATTTGCCAGGTACCATGTAGTACGAAAGTCTGAACGAACCTGACAATGAATGACGCGAATTTCCAAGAAGTTTTGAACATTTGTAATTTGGCCTAATTCGCTGGATGATTGTAATACAGATAACGTTCACTGGAACTACACGGAAATTTCTGTTGGATTTATTTAGATTCTTATTTATTTCTATTCTATACTTGTGTTGTTGGTAGTCACGTCTGCTAAAACGATTCAATGTGTAAATCTAGTTTCTAAACAGAGTGACGTGCTTATTCACCAGACAAATGTGTTGTTCTTTTTACTCAAAGTGCCAGACTCGCTCCGTTATAAATATTTTTTTTCATATTTTATTGACTGGAAATGTTGTTGTATGCTAATAGATAATATATAAATAAAGACTTGTATAAAGTTTCGAACTTGAAATTGAAAGGGTACCGGAGATATCGGTGCCGGAATTAATCTCATTAATCAACACCAGGATATGAATATTGATGAGGAAAAGTCATGCGATACGTTCAGACGCGATCAGAACCAAAACAAAAATGGAGGAAGAGGTGAGTAGTACGTCCATGTGGTATCGCTTGTAAAGAGATTTTACCGATAAATGCAATCAATACTCTATATATCCTGTATGGAAATCATCTAACGTATGTATTGATCACATCTTTCAATGCTTAGATATGATTACGAGATTACGAGAAAAACTACGTCAAAACACGTTTTCTTTCCCGCTTCCCTCGCACGCTTTCTGCCATGGTGGAAGACGGCGGATTTATTTACAGTTCTTTGCGCATGCGTCAGAGGGCAGGACTTCCCGTTTAATTATGAATTAGCACCGAGTCGTTTCGAATTATTTTTTAAAACTATTTATTACGTTAGATTGGTAGCGATTTACTTTAAAATTGCGGTATTACAGGGTTAGTCAGAACTTTTGCTACCCGAGAAAAATAGAAAATCATGATTTTTTTAAAATATAAACTAATATCGGTTGAGGCAGGTCTGGCTCTTTAAATAATTCCAGACAACAAAACAGCCCCATTCCTTGCTATGCAACTTTTGTTTAGAATAAAAGAGGAGTTCAAAATCTGGAACGTGATTTGTTGCGTTATATAGGTCAGACAGGACTCCGTTCACAGGTTCGATTTGTTTGGACTCAGTAACAGCGATTACTCTGACAGCTTAATCAACTCAAGGTACGTAATTTCGAATGACCCATCGTTAAGTTGTTTTGTTTTTCACTTTTATCTCTATACTTCAATATAGTTCATCAAATAATATCGCACCGGCAGAAACCGCGTAATACATTAGAAGTCCCTACCACAGGATAAGTTAACTGCATGTATACGTTTCGTAGTGTTAAACTACTGAGAAAAGTATTTCGTAGCATAGACATTTGTGAATAACCAAACTCTTTCAGTTATTGACAAATATATTAATTGGTTCTGGCAGCCGACTTGAAGCCTTCATAATTCTTCTCCAAATTCAAGCGGTTAATTTACAAAACATTGTAGAATGGAGACAACTCTTGTTTCTCATATAAATCATATAAATATAAATGTAGAACAGATGAAGTGAGTATTCACCAAAATACAACATATACAGTAGATATTATCAAATATACAACATATACAGTAGATATCACCAAAATACAACATATACAGTAGATATTATCAAATATACAACATATACAGTAGATATCACCAAAATACAACATATACAGTAGATATTATCAAATATACAACATATACAGTAGTATTCACCAAAATACAACATATACAGTAGATATTATCAAATATACAACATATACAGTAGATATCACCAAAATACAACATATACAGTAGATATCATCAAATATACAACATATACAGTAGATATTATCAAATATACAACATATACAGTAGATATCACCAAAATACAACATATACAGTAGATATCACCAAAATACAACATATACAGTAGATATTATCAAATATACAACATATACAGTAGATATCACCAAAATACAACATATACAGTAGATATTATCAAATATACAACATATACAGTAGTATTCACCAAAATATAACATATACAGTAGATATCACCAAAATACAACATATACAGTAGATATCACCAAAATACAACATATACAGTAGATATTATCAAATATACAACATATACAGTAGATATCACCAAAATACAACATATACAGTAGATATTATCAAATATACAACATATACAGTAGATATCACCAAAATACAACATATACAGTAGATATTATCAAATATACAACATATACAGTAGATATCATCAAATATACAACATATACAGTAGATATCACCAAAATACAACATATACAGTAGATATTATCAAATATACAACATATACAGTAGATATCACCAAAATACAACATATACAGTAGATATTATCAAATATACAACATATACAGTAGATATTATCAAATATACAACATATACAGTAGATATCATCAAATATACAACATATACAGTAGATATTATCAAATATACAACATATACAGTAGATATCACCAAAATACAACATATACAGTAGATATTATCAAATATACAACATATACAGTAGATATCACCAAAATACAACATATACAGTAGATATTATCAAACATACAACATATACAGTAGATATCATCAAATATACAACATATACAGTAGATATCATCAAATATACAACATATACAGTAGATATCATCAAATATACAACATATACAGTAGATATTATCAAATATACAACATATACAGTAGATATCATCAAATATACAACATATACAGTAGATATTATCAAATATACAACATATACAGTAGATATCACCAAAATACAACATATACAGTAGATATCATCAAATATACAACATATACAGTAGATATCATCAAATATACAACATATACAGTAGATATTATCAAATATACAACATATACAGTAGATATCACCAAAATACAACATATACAGTAGATATTATCAAATATACAACATATACAGTAGATATCACCAAAATACAACATATACAGTAGATATCATCAAATATACAACATATACAGTAGATATCATCAAATATACAACATATACAGTAGATATTATCAAATATACAACATATACAGTAGATATCACCAAAATACAACATATACAGTAGATATCATCAAATATAACACAAACACGGTGACTATCATCAAATATAACACTAGTACAGTGAATATCATTCAATATAACACTTATACAGTGAATATCATCCAATATAACACTTATACAGTGAATATCATCAATTAAGCAACAGATACGGTGAATATCATTCAATATAACACAAATACAGTGAATATCATCCAATATAACACAAATACAGTGAATATCAACAGAAGTACAACATATATATGTATGTTAAAGAGAGACTAGCTGTTTGATGATGTACGAGATTCACGAATTATCATATCATTGAATGAAATCATTTTGTCAAAAAAAATTGATTTTAACCATGTCATACTTTCTCGATATATATATGTGTGTGTGTATTTAAGTACCTGGCCTTATTTGCCATGTACTTTCTCAAGTAAAATAGTTCTTTTGTTCATATTTTGCTCTGGTTTCATTGAATTTAAGTTGGCGGACAATTATGTTGACATGTCGATATTTTTTTAGTTTTCGAAAAAGAGCATTAATTCATTAAGCCTTTCAACCTGATCAATTTTACATCTTGGCGCTCTATCGGCGTTAGAACTAGTATTAATGAAAACCAATGCTACTGTAAATATACATACACAAACCCTTTCGTTTATAACAATGTAATTAATATCGATGTAGGTGAAACAATCGAGCAACTGGTAAAAATGGATGACAAAACGATGCAAGGCTGGCTTAACTGTTGGGAGAGAAAAACTATTCCCTGGCACCACACTGACGTCCACGAAGCTATAGAGAAGTATTATGAAATATTGGCAGCGTCACCAACAGCCAAGAACAAAATATTCATACCTCTGTGTGGGAAGACTGTAGATATCAAATATCTGGTAGACCGCGGGAGCGAGGTCGTGGGACTGGAAGCTTCCGAAATAGCAGTGAGAGATTTCTTTACAGAACAAAATATCGAATACACCTCGGAGGACGTCCCTGCCGTGAAAGGAAAATTATACCGGTCAAGTGACAAAATGATCAAGATATACTGCTGTGACCTGTTTTTATTTTCTGCTGAAGTAGAATCTGGATTTAGTGGTATCTGGGATCGAGGTGCTTTGGGTGCCTTTTCATCTGAAGATCGCAGAAGATATATTGAGATAATGAAAACACTAACACATCCAGGGATAGGTTACTTGCTCGAAGTGGCGGATAGGGATCCAGAGAAAGGACCTCCATTTTTTGTTTCGTTTGACGAACTCGAACAAGGATTTGGGCAAGGGTGTGGAGTAAGTAACCTCTGTACTGTGGAAAAAACACCACCTGGGATGATGGATTTGCCCGTAAATTACGCGGACCTGAAAGGCATGAAAGTTTATCGTCTTACTTTTCAATAAGTTTATCAACAAATACAAAAACTGTAACTTGTTCAAATATATTTATGTTTACCTAAAACTGCATTTAACAAGATTAGAACTTAGTGATAATATAACTAAACGCCATTTACAGATGATAAAATTTCAAAATGTGATCTTTGTTTCAAATATTGTACACGTCATTTGTTATTCCCCACGTTAACCTTATTTTGACAAGGTACCCAAGTAAAACTGTACACGAAATCATAGTGTGACCAAGATGTATGATAAACGAGTTTTAATTCTTGATAGCAGTCACTGCATCGCCAATCTATGGTGTAAATATGTCGTAGTTGATTCAAGTGCCTATTCCCTTTATCTGGATTTTCGTGCAAGAAGTCGATGACTGACTGACAAACTCGCAACACATTATTTCAGAAGATAAAAGTTGATTGAAGTTATCGAAAGGGAAGTTATACTGTCGTTAAAGTGCTCTCATTGAGAAACTTTGTATTTCAATGTGCGATGTGAGCTGGACATGTTTGATACTGTTTGACTGTTGGTTCCGTTGTTGTATACCTTTTTCTCATATGAGAACCTTTCGTTGCTCAATCGGATTGACTATGATTTACATGGCAGATGTCGTCGATGAAGCAGCAGACGCCTATTCTTCCGGAACACCTGGTAATATTCTCTTTGTATTTTAGTAGTCTTCTTGTACATGTTTCTTTTGTTGAATTTGAGTTTGGATTAAAATTATGTTGACATGTTGGATTTTTCTCCTTGTTTCTTGTCTAGCTTGTTGACTTTGAGGTCCTGGATAACTCAGTCGGTGGGGTTATGGCAAACATAACCTCAAATGAAGACAGCAGGTACGATCACAACCCGTAATTGGTTGTGTTTCTCAGGAAGCCGAGACATAGTTGTGTCCTTCACATGCTGCTCTAACTGCCAAGGAATGCATCCGACGAGCATAGCGTATGTTTTTCACTGAAGTAGTCACTGGTAGCTACTACAAACATACCCCTGTCGAAGTGTCAATTAGGAATGAGTGTTTTTGTGGTTGATTAACAACGATACAATATATTACAAACTTAATTAAGACACAAACAAGGCGTTCAAATGCTTTTTCATGTTTCGTACGCAAGTGATGCCATTGGATGAAAGGATATAGCAAATGCTGTCTTGAAGAAAAATATGTATGTTACATTTCTGTTTTATTATTTGTTATTATATCATGAAAATCATCTCTCATTGAATGAGAAGAAGGTATATTTCTTACCTATATCGATATGGTTTGTAAAAGTGAATTAACATTCTTCAGTAGCACAGACACTGAAATCTTAGAGCTAAAACAAGAATTAGACTGCCCTAAACAGCTTTTACTCGTTAGTGATGCCAGAGACATATATAACACATGTGATATATACGTCTCTGGTGATGCTACGTGCCTAAATTGTCAAAACATATGATACGATTAAGGAGGATCCAAATTAGTCGAAACAAATGCCATTAACCAATATGGCGGTGCACTATCCCACAAATTATATAAATTTTGTAACTTTAAATGTTTCATTGTTGACAACCTGATGGTTGTTGTCGGTTCACGCGGGTTTGTGTGTTATTTAGTATACCTATAGTTTGGGTCACTAATCATACAGGTGGTATTCCGGGGTGATCAGCTCGTTCTGCACTATTGTATCTTTACAGCAAGACTAGACTAGGTGGGTATCGTGTAAGCACCTATTTCGAGCAAGTAAGATATAAATATAACTGCGAGACAGAATGAGCTTTCACTGTTCTAGATTAATCACTCCTACATCATGTTAAAGTCAACATGAGGTTGTGTGTTGGTGAGTGTGTAGGGAAGAATTATAATGGTGGTTTTGGCAATCTCGCCCTCTCCCCCAACTTTCCAAGTCAAACGTCGTGTGTTCGTAGTCTATCCTTAATCGTGAAATTATTACAGCGTGCATGCATATTTTACTATTAGGTTAACGTCATACATATTCTGAATAATACAAACTAGTACCATAACTAAAATTTCGTTTTGCAAGGCTGTGTTGAAATGTTTGGAAAATCTTTATTTATGACTAAATCTACTACTGGTGTTAAAAATGTGTGTCTCGCTGCAGTTTTTATGCACATAAAATGTCTTAAAACCCTTTTGTATCCATTCAAAAACGTATCGTTTTACCTGCGATATCGTCAAAACCATCATATAAATCGCCCCTATGTCAACATTATTACCCGTCCTGTCCTAATGTTCACCTAAACACGATGTCTAAGCACCAGACCTTCCAAATTATGCTGCAAATATCGTCTTTCTGTGACCTAACTACAATCATGATAGCTGTTGAAAACGAGAACAAAATCGGTCTAAAATCTTTAATCATTGAACAACATATTTTTCAGTCTTTCGGTTGCCAAAAAAAAAAAGAACAAGTATTTTTATATAATTTACATTTGTTCAAATATCATTAGCTAAATACATAATTCATTTGTTATTTGGAGATTCCGTAAAAGAAAACAAAAATTGGCTGAAGGACCATATTTAAAATGGAGGCATTTGAAACGTTACGAAATTCAACTGTGCTAGAGAGAAAATTATCATTTATGTCATGTAAAATTGTGACGAAAAAGGACTTTACCGTTGCAAGAACTACGTAAATTGACATCAATGAAAATGAAATGACGAATGATTGTTTGCAAAACAATAGAAAAGCAGCATAGCCGACAATCTGCGTGTTTAGTGGTGGTTTCGAAAATTAAAAAGAACAAACAAAATATAATATAATGTTACTTGTCCTCCCTTCTCGGCCTCCGAACTTTTTCACGCTCCAAAGCAGATGAATTGGGATATGCAACCTACATGATTCATGGTAGTCCACACCTTTACAATAATAACGTAGGATATACACAGTTAATATCGGCCTCGTCACGGTATACTGATGTCGTCGTAACAAACATCATCGATATTAGGAGACTGTCGAGCATCCGAATAATTTACCATCGAAACCTTCTTTGCTGTGTATTTTATAAAGTGTTAATATATTAATATATACCGGATATTAGAACTTGGTTCACATTGAATTTTGATTATGTTGATATAAATCCAGCAAACAAACGCCCAAAGTGTCTTGTTACAAGAGTTTTACATGCAGCCCCCGTCGAACATCGCGAATTGTGGCGATGTTAAACCCAAATACACTCTGCATATGAATCACTCTACATTATGCCCTAAAATTGTTACCAGACTTCTACAAATGCCATTATATTGTCAATTATCTGGCATCAAAATCAAAATAACCCCATGTTGGCTCTCATTTATCGTTAATAGGAACAAAACATGCAGTGGTTTTGAAGGACTGTGCAAATCTGGAACAAGAAAGGTGCACCTTTCAATGCAATAGCTGAAGTAAGATAGTTAAAACAAACCAATAAGCATGAATCTACATGGGATAAAGAAACAAACCCTCGTTTTACATGCTAAGCACTCGTCAATTATTATATCAGATTGTACAAAAGTCACGTGAACAAACAATATCAGCGGGGAAAGGCAGACAACTAAAGGTGGTTTGTCAAATACGGATAATTGTTGTCCGTAAAAGTAATTGTGTCTGTATTTTTCTTAAGGTCTAAACATACGTACCAGTGAGAGTGAAATGGATGCCGATGAGATGCAGGGCTGGCTAAACTGTTGGGAGAAGGACACAGCACCTTGGCACATTCATCATGTACACGAAGCTATAGAGAAGTATCATGAAATATTGGCAGCGTCACCAACAGCCAAGAACAAAATCTTCATACCTCTGTGTGGGAAGACTGTGGATATCAAATACCTGGCAGACCGCGGGAACGAGGTTGTGGGACTGGAAGCTTCCGAAATAGCAGTGAGAGATTTCTTTACAGAACAAAATATCGAATACACCTCGGAGGACGTCCCTGCCGTGAAAGGAAAATTATACCGGTCAAGTGACAAAATGATCAAGATATACTGCTGTGACCTGTTTTTATTTTCTGCTGAAGTAGAATCTGGATTTAGTGGTATCTGGGATCGAGGCTCTCTGATTGCTATGTCACAAGCAGACCAGAAAAGATACATTGGCCTTATAAAGACACTAACATATCCAGGAATTGGTTACTTGCTTGAAATGCCTGATCGTGATCCGAACATTGGTCCTCCATTTTCTGTTCCACTTGATGTTCTCGAGACAGGATTCGGACCAGGTTGCAGAGTTGTTCAATTGTCAGAAGTGGTAAAAAATCCACCGGAGTTTCTCTCCATGCCTGGCGTGAAAGGAAACCACGTCTATCGTATTTCCTTTCAATAAGACTATTAAATACATGGCAGGCTGTCCTATGTACTATTGATTAATACATCAATGTCTATTACCATTGTATATACATAACTTTTTATATATTCTATTCATTAATACAGTAGTTATACATAAGACATTATATACAATTAGAAAATTGGAAAAACACCAGATATCGACGTTATTTAACTAGCTTAAGCCGAAATACATCAATACGTAATATATAACAGCACAATTAAATGCACCTCCTCTGTCTAATTCACAACGTTGCCTTGTGTAAGTTTGCATCTTTCAATTGTAACTCTTTTGCGCAAAATAAAGGAAAGATTTTGAGGTAAACTAATCAAAAAGTGTTTTTATCAGTTGCTATTCAATACTCCAACCACTAACTTAGGTTTAATTACCTCGGTTCCATCATTAAAAAGTCCACGTTTAGGTGATCCAGGTCTCAACGTGTGGATACATTTCACACAAGAAAGGCTCATGACTACTTATTTGATTTTTTTTCAGTCAAAAATATGTCCATAACCAATAACAAAGGCCTTACACCAAACCAAAGACAGTCGACGTTGACATTTAGTGTTTGTTTTTCAGTTGTTTTCGTCAAAAAGATAATTAAGTATGTGTACTAGACTTCCTTACCAGAGGTAATCAAATCGTAACCGTACGGCAAGCACATTCAGACACTTCAGGCCTGTCGTGACAAATCCTATTGGCGCAGAGGATTGGACCAGTAGTAGAAGATATCTACATTTTGGATTTTACGAATAAAAACCTACCAAAATGTCTTGATGCTTGTAACTTAAAGCAACTAATCTTATATGCATACTTTAAACAAATCTACTTTTTATCGTGTCTATTTATTTCCATTAGGTGTCGGTGGCGGACGATGTCGTCTGATCAGATCCAAGGATGGCTTAATAACTGGGAAAGTGACTGTACACCATGGCACATGACAGACGTACACGAAGGTTTGGCTAGGTACTATCAAATGTTGGTAAACAAGACTTCTGTCCATAATAAAATATTCATTCCTCTATGTGGAAAGTCTGTGGATATTAAATGGCTTGCCGATCGCGGGAACGAAGTGGTAGGAGTAGAAGCTTCTGAAACAGGTTTGATGGAATTCTTTGTCGAGCAAAACGTAAAGTATTCTGTGGAAAGCGCTCCTTCTGTTGATGGAAAGCTTTTTCGGTCCCACGACAATAAAATTCGACTTTACTGCTGTGATATTTTTCATTTCACTAGCGATGTAGAATCCGGTTTCAGCGGGGTGTGGGATCGAGGTTCAATAGAGGCTCTTGAGCCCGAGGACAGGAAAAAATACATAGATCTGATGAAAACTCTAATTGGCCCGGAGACAGGCTATTTAACAGAGATCGTTGAACGTGATCTTGGCAAAGGACCGCCGTTTTGTATTACAGTAGATGAACTCCGAGCAGGATTTGGCCCAGGATGTGAGGTCAAGAAATTGATGACCACTACAAAACTGCCTCCATACGCCTTTCATGTTCCTGACTTAATTGGTTTTAATGTTTTTTCTATTTCGTATCGCTGAACTGGCTATATTTTATATAGATCTAAATGTGACGATATTGGTCTGCAAAGCATTGCTGACTTAAACCATATTGTAGCACTTCACATAAAACTAACGATATACTAAACATGTATGCAAATGCTGAACATAAAGCAATTACAATGCAACCAACATATATGTAGCATATTTTGTTATTTATATACACAAAAACATAATACACCCTGAAAACTACACGAAAATACCGAAATGTTAACAAAATATTTACTCAAACTCAAGATGGATGAAACGAGGGCAGAAATGTGAACAAAAGAAATTTTAACGAGGAGTTCCTGGAAAACGGTTTGTGGAGAGTAAACCATTCGAAATGATAAACGCCTACTGTTTTATCTTCAACAACTTTCATGTAAACTTTCGTCAGTCCAAGTAAGCTACATCACGTTTCAAAAGAGAATCAGGTATACAACGAAACCAGTAGGTATTCTATTGAACATCAGATATGTTCAACTTCATATCACAAACCGACATAAAATATGTCCTCATAGTCTTCATCAATCTCTCTCGAAACTATGTGTTTTGGATGTTGCTGTCAGCTGTCGGCGTTTCTCTGAATTTATCACTGACAAATAAACAGCGGTTGGAAAAGTGGTGAAGACATAGTCAACTGGACAATTATCCTTGTTGCTTGTATTTAAGGTAAAAATCCAGGTAAACGCAGTTGATGTAGAAGAGACTGCTGTGTCCTTGATATCCAGTTCTGGAGAGTTTATCTGATGGATATGGTGGGTTAATGAATCACATGGATTAATGGATTAATTATACAGTTACATCATTGAAGACGTACATGTAAATTAGATTTATGTGACGTACATACAAAATTCTTAAATATAAATAAGAATAAATAAAAATAAGAACAATAAAAAGATTTCGAAATACTGAATGAAATCATTCTGTCATGGACAAATTCTTCGATAAATTCAGACTCGTATGAAAATATAAAACAACACAGCCAAGAAACTGACACGGTTTGTTCCCATGTATGTAAATATTAATATATACTGGCAAGCTTTGTTCTTGTATGTGTAAAGTTAATATACTGACAAGCTTTGTTCTTGTAGGTGTAAAGTTAATATACTAGCAAGGTTTGTTCTTGTAGGTGTAAAGTTAATATACTAGCAAGGTTTGTTTTTGTAGGTGTAAAGTTGATATACTAGCAAGGTTTGTTTTTGTGGGTGTAAAGTTAATATACTGGCAAGCTTTGTTCTTGTGGGTGTAAAGTTAATATACTTGCAAGATTTGTTCTTGTGGGTGTAAAGTTAATATACTGGCAAGCTTTGTTATTGTGGATGTAAAGTTAATATACTGGCAAGCTTTGTTCTTGTGGGTGTAAAGTTAATATACCGGCAAGCTTTGTTCTTGTAGGTGTAAAGTTAATATACTATCATGGTTTGTTCTTGTAGGTGTAAAGTTAATATACTAGCAAGTTTTGTTTTTGTAGGTGCAAAGTTAATATACTAGCAAGGTTTGTTTTTGTGGGTGTAAAGTTAATATATACTGGCAAGCTTTGTTCTTGTATGTGTAAAGTTAATATACTTGCAAGCTTTGTTCTTGTGGGTGTAAAGTTAATATACTGGCAAGCTTTGTTATTGTGGATGTAAAGTTAATATACTGGCAAGCTTTGTTCTTGTGGGTGTAAAGTTAATATACTTGCAAGCTTTGTTCTTGTGGGTGTAAAGTTGATATATACTGGCAAGCTTTGTTCTTGTGGGTGTAAAGTTAATATACTGGCAAGCTTTGTTCTTGTAGGTGTAAAGTTAATATACTAGCAAGGTTTGTTCTTGTAGGTGTAAAGTTAATATACTAGCAAGGTTTGTTCTTGTAGGTGTAAAGTTAATATACTAGCAAGGTTTGTTTTTGTAGGTGTAAAGTTGATATACTAGCAAGGTTTGTTTTTGTGGGTGTAAAGTTAATATACTGGCAAGCTTTGTTCTTGTGGGTGTAAAGTTAATATACTTGCAAGATTTGTTCTTGTGGGTGTAAAGTTAATATACTGGCAAGCTTTGTTCTTGTGGGTGTAAAGTTAATATACTTGCAAGCTTTGTTCTTGTGGGTGTAAAGTTGATATATACTGGCAAGCTTTGTTCTTGTGGGTGTAAAGTTAATATACTGGCAAGCTTTGTTCTTGTGGGTGTAAAGTTAAGAGACTGGCACGGTTTGTTCCTACGGGTGTAAAATCCAAGAGACCGGCACGGTATGGTCCCCACGGGTGTAAATATCGACAGTCTGTCTGAAGCTCTTACCACCAAACTCTACGAAGACTTCTTTTACTGCTGTATCACAAAAAGATTTTTACTCCTATGTAATGAAGGAAAATGCAATCACCAAGACACCTGGTTCTATCACAATAAGATTTTGCGAGAGAGTCACAACGCCATCAGTAATCATTAACTTCCATATCAGAAAGCAAGGAAACATTCCAAAGACACAAGAAAATACATGATGGGTTCAGGATCGCAAAAAGGAAATTTTGATTTTTTGATTGATACCATTTAAAGCACATATAGACAGCGTGATTGAGCAGCAGTAACAGAGCGGTGAAGATTTTTGTTCTGTTTTTAGTTTTGCTTTTCTGTTTTTGTTTTGTAATGAGGTTTAACGTACTTCCCAGAGCTATGTAAACCACAGAAAAAAAAATTCAGAGAGAAAAAAGACAAATGTGTATATCATTAATCACTAATATGGACAAATCTTTTGACACACATGTCTGCAGACGTTTTCAATACTCATATATTCTTATATTCAATACATATGTTCGTAAAGGCATATATCAAAAGACTCAGTGGAAATACTCCAAAGTTACAAGTAAATGGATGTTCAACGATAGATAAAAACAATCAGATGTTGTCTATAAAGGTGGAATTAAGAAATGTATCATGTTTTTATCTGATAATGTAAATTACCAGGGTTACACGTTGTTGAAGTTATGATTTTGAAATATCAAACCTTTCTTTATCCTCGCTCATTATCCTCGCTCTTCATACTCACTCTTTATCCTCGCTCTTTATCCTCGCTCTTTATATTCACTCTTTATCCACACTCCTTATACTCACTCCTTATACTCACTCTTTATCCACACTCTTCATACTCACTCTTTATCCTCGCTCATTATCCTCGCTCTTCATACTCACTCTTTATCCTCGCTCTTTATACTCACTCTTTATCCACACTCTTTACACTCGCAATTTATACCCACTCTTTATACTCGCTCTTTATACTCACTCTTTATACACACTCTTTATACTCACTCTTTTTACCCACTCTTTATACTCACTCTTTTTACCCACTCTTTATACTCACTCTTTTTACTCACTCCTTTGACTCGCTCTTTATACTCGCTCTTCATACTCACTCTTTTTACCCACTCTTTATACTCACTCTTTTTACTCACTCCTTTGACTCGCTCTTTATACTCGCTCTTCATACTCACTCTTTATCCTCGCTCTTTATATTCACTCTTTATCCACACTCTTTATACTCACTCTTTTTACCCACTCTTTATACTCACTCTTTTTACTCACTCCTTTGACTCGCTCTTTATACTCACTGTTTTTACTCACTCTTTATACTCACTCCTTTTACTCGCTCTTTATACTCACTCTTTTTACTCACTCTTTATACTCGCTCGTTATACTCACTCTTTATATACAATATTTATCCACACTCTTTATACTCACTCTTTTTACTCACTCCTTTTACTCGCTCTTTATACTCGCTCTTTATACTCACTGTTTATACTCACTCTTTATACTCACTCATTTTACTCGCTCTTTATCCACGCTCTTTATACTCACTCTTTTTACTCACTCTTTGTACTCACTCCTTTTACTCGCTCTTTATACTCGCTCTTTATACTCACTCCTTTACTCGCTCTTTATACTCACTCTTTATCCACGCTCTTTATACTCGCTCTTCATACTCACTCTTTATCCACGCTCTTTATACTCTCTCTTTATACTCACTCTTTATACTCGCTCTTTATACTCATTCCACGCTCATTCCACGTATGAAATGAAATGGAAATTACACAATATACATAAGTAAGGAACTGAATCTTGCATCTATTGTCGATATCTCATTTTTGGCAATATGTAAATAAGTCTGCAAATCCTCGAATGTGAATAAGGTGTCTTTAATTCTTATGGATCTTGGTACCACGATATTAGATATATGTAGTAATACATACACAGTCACTTGTTCGCCACCAAAACAAAATTCTAATTTTGAATCGTCCTGGAATATATTTATACATTGTGTTCCTAGGTCCATCAACTAACAGATGATGATGATTAGTTTCGTTTGCCTCAGGACAGGAACAAGGTGGAATTGCTGATAGTTTATTTAAAGCAAAAGACGTATGTTAGTGAACTACGTTTCATTCTGAGCCTGACATGATATACAAAATGTATTTGAATTATCTTATTACCACTGATTCTTTTTGTAGTAAGTTCCTGTTCAGATTTAACTTTTTTGCTAACGGATTCATCACTTCCTATTGAGGCAGGAGCGGCTATGAAACTTTTCGATAAAAGTTTGCTCTACAGTTTGGTCTAAAACTATTTGGTTTCTAGTGTTATAGTGATGGATCCGAATATCGTTCTGGGAGAATGGAACTTAGATACAGCAGGGTAATGTTATTCATGGTGGTCTGTTTTGTAAATTATATTATTTTTTGACGGTCTTCCTTCAAGAAAGCGTTTACCGTCCTGTTTCGTATGATGTCGTATACACATGGAGAGTGTAACATTCCAGTTATTTTGTCCAAAGCCGGACACGAGACCGAATTACTTCCTTCCTTTCTTCTTTCTTTCATTCTTTCAATGGTGGGAACGTACATGATAAGTGGGGGAAAGTTTACCAACATCAAACTTTTGGAAAAATATATGTTAAGATTTCTGGCATATCAAGAAAATAAGAAAAATCACGTTTTAACCTTCTTTGAAATGCGATATGTACATCTTGTGTCGTAATCAATATGGAAAATCAACAGTGCTATAAGTACAACTAAAACAACATACACATTTACCAATCTTTTCAACTGTAGTTTTGCATTGAAAAATATCGGACTATCAATATCGCTTTTAAACACCTGACTTGGCGATAATGGCTTTTGTTGTCTTTTTAAATATACTGAGAAAATGTCATTAATTATAGTAACAATCAGTGCGTATAGCTGACATGTACATAACTATCAGATTGAAGGAAATATATACCCTTACTTTCATAGTTCAAGCATAAGTATGTGCCTGACACACAAATAATGTTTGGGTTTATCATTATTTAATTTTTTTTATTTTGTTCCATTTAATACATTAATCAAGCAGCTATTTCATTGACTTGATCTAGCTATAACAGTTCTTGGCATACTGCCAGCAAGAAGTAGAGGTGGACGTCTGCCGTTATATTTTGATACGAGTTGTTTCCCTTTGATCATTATGAACTAAGCAATTTTACCTTAGCCGGTCATTTTTTTCATTTTACCTATTCTTGCAGTGAAATATAAATCTTATGATAGCTAGTAAATCAAAGTTGATAGGTTATGTCTATCAATGTTGAAAAATCCTCGCTTCAAGCCATATTTTACTGTTTTCTTTCAATGTTCTCTTACTTGTACGCATGCGCACTGAAAGAAGGTAATGGAGAGGCCATGAAAATGGCGGAGCAAAAAAGACGAAACGGCCTACTTTCTAAGGGCATGAAATTGCCTGTAACGATAGAGGAAGCTCTAAATGATGTGCTCGTCGTATCCCTAGAAACCGGAAGCAAAGTTTTCCGTGGCATTTTGTTAGATATGAAGAAGAGGTAACGGAATATTCCTTCGAAAATACAACCCAATTTCTGTTTTTTTCTTGCATTTACATCTGTCATTCATCACGATTTTCCCATGCCAATTATTCGTTTGACGTGTTAAGCACTTTTCAGTAAAGAGGTTTGTTGGTATATGTGTATGTGTAGCTAATGCCATATGTATTTGACATGACTATTGGTGCATATTTTAAAAATACATTATTTGTAATCCACACCCCCCCTTCCCCTGATAAATATTAGGCCTATATTCTGCATCAAGTCCTGGATGCACGATGTGTAGCAAAATAAATGCTCATTTCTATTCTTAAACCTCACGTAAAGCAATATGATGTAAATGAGGCGAGATGTAAGTTCATTCTGCCAATGACACGTAATGCAACATTTGTTTTATTAAAAAAAAACTTTCATTCATTGAAAGTGAAAACTGGTCACGAGACCTTCCCAGATGATGACGATCTGTATTTCGTTCTATAACCACCACTCCCACTTGCACCTAATTTTGAAATTACAGTAACCAGATACAACTCTTTGTATAGCATCTTGCTTGGTAAGAGAACATGGCCGTGAAAAAATATGTTGCATTTGATGGAACTACAGATGTCTGTGAAACTTATCTTGCACATCAGAAAAGTCTCATTAATAATCTTAAAACCTTTTCTGATTATGCGAAAGATATGTAAGAGAAGAAAACATTGGTCACTCCCATGATAGAAATACTAAGTAGCATCTGAGACATGATGTGATAGTCTAGTTATGTCAAGATCTCTTGATGGATTCCTTTTATTAATCAATAAGCAGATATACATTGGAAAAAGACGTTTATCTCAGAAGTGTCACAGGCACATTGCATATAAATAAAGGTGCCATCAAATAGGGCTTTTCTCGTCCACTGAAAGGCAGAAAGGCCGTAAAAGTGGATGTTAAACCTGTTAAATAAAAAAATAAATATGGACAATGGAACTGATGATTAAATGCCATGGCATTGCTTTGGGACACTGGAGGATATCAGCTTTCCTAGTAGGAGAGTATAACATGATAAAATAATAGCTGTTTGATGTTTGAGAAAATCTCCATTTACATCATTGGATAGCACAATGTAGTATTTTTATAGCAAAGCTTCCTGATTTTATGCTTATAGTGGATGCTTCCTATGTTGCAATCAATATTGGTATTACGGTGAATAAGCTGGATGCCGCTTAATATTGTAAAAACACTCCAAAATGGGTTTATTTCTGCACTTAAATTATAGATAATATAAAGGACTTTGGTATTTTCTGTTATGGCAAGCTTTTACCTTGTAGATTTATTTATGATTGAGCAATTGTTAATTATCTCCTCCCTGTGGTTTGAAGCTGGTTGTATTCAAACTGATAACAGCCAAATATAAAGAAGCAATAGAATGAGTGTTGAGATATTGTATTTTATAACAACCAGAGAACTACCCAAACCTGAGACACTTCACTGAACTTTGATATATATACCGAACTGAGAAAACACGTCAAATAATAGTAGTTATAATAAACCTGTTCTATATTCTGAATAAGATACTGCCATTCAGTGTGACATTAAGTTTGCATTGACCAGAATGAGATCTATGCAAGATTTTCCCAACTGGTCTAGTCTAAATATCATGAGATACTGTAATGTACACTGTAAACTATATTTTTCACAATAAATATACAGTGGACTTTACATATATGAAAGCTCTGTTGACATTTGGGCACTTCTAGTTCAAATGTAGGAATAATAATTTTATCACTGATTCTTATGGTTCATCTAATACATAATTGTCCAGGCATACTATTACTTTTGAACAGTGTGAGATATCTTGATGAAACTTAAAACATAACTTTTATGGCTGCATCACACACACGTGCCAAAAATAGGTCAACGTGACCTTTACAGTACCTCAAGATTAAAGGTCAAATATGTGCAAAATTCCCAGGACATAAAGAATGAGTAATAACTTTTGAGTTGTCAAGGAAAGTTTGATGAAATTTAAGAAAAATAACTAAATCATCCACAGGTGGCTACAGTGCACTGAAATTAGGTTACTTTCACATTCACCTTCAGGTCAAAGGACAAATAAGTGCAACTTTTTAGGATCCACTTTTTGAAATAAAATTGTATCTTGATGACAACTGAAATGTTTACATCTCGCACAGGTGATGAGAAGTGCATTAAAGTAAGATCTCTGACTGTGACATCTGTCTTAACATCAAAGTTAAATTGAATGGAAATTTAGTATATATCTTGGCAATAATGTAATGATTTCTCATTATGATATAATGAATCAAAGACGATTTGAAGTTCAATGTGAAGTCACATTGTATAAGTGGAGATCAGTGATATGTTTTAAATAACAAAGTCTGTTTATCTTTTTACTGGTATATCTTATTCATATTTTTTTTATTTATCTCACTTCTTTTTCCATTTTTGTAAATGAATAGGAAAGAGGTTCTTTGCAAAAGGGACGCATACATTTAGGCGGCAGAAACACTTTTCAAGTTTTATTTTAGTCTTGCAAGTCATTTATTTCCAAGAATATGATACTGTTCATTGTAGATGTATCAATTTTTTGAAAAAGCCTACCACAAAAAAAGAGTGATGTCAAAGAAAAATTATGATTTGGTCAATTTAAGTAAATAACCTCATTATTTTATTTTGCTTATTGTCTTTTAGAAATCTACCACATGGAGTCCCATGGCAATTTGACCAGAGTGGATCAAACAATGGTAAAGATGTCCAACCTGTTACTGAAGGTGATACCAGCTCACAGCCGGAGGTAGCTGCCACATCAAATAGACACACATACCAACAAGACTGTAGTCAATATAACAGCCAGGCACCTCCACATCCAGTGGCCCTCACACGTGCACTTTACAAAGACAAAAATGTTCGGCGAATTCGATTACGCCCAAGGCAAACCTTGTGTAACAAATGTAAAGCTGTCTGTACTGAAACAGACAAAGGTATTGTGCCAGTCACAGCTGTAACAAAACAACAAAAACCCACACCAGTACACCAGCCATCTCCTGCACCGATATCGCGTAGGCCTCTCAAGGAAGGGTTGAGGAAACGACCAGCACCACAACCTAGTTCACAACCTCAGACTTATTCATCACGAAGGAAGTCACTTATTCAGAGCAAACCAGTCTCATCCAGGATTCCATCAAGAACTATGTTAACTCGTAGTGATTCTCTCCCGGAAAGTAGGGTTGTGTTATCGCGAAGAGTTTCTCTGACTGAATCTAAGACTGTGTCAAGTCGGAGGGAATCTTCTTCTGAACTTAGAAATGTGTTATCACGTAGAGAGTCTCTACCAGAGAGCAGAATAGTGTTAACTCGTAGGGAATCCCTTACAGATAAAATAGTGTCAAATCGTAAAGACTATAACTCAGAAAGTAAACCTGTGACATCTAGAAGGGATTCTAATCCCGAGACTAAACCATTACCATTGCGGAAAGATTCGAATGGTGAAGCAAAGTTATTGACTGCAGTTGTAAATGAGAATAAAATACAGAAATTAGATAAATCATCAGCAGCTAATACTAAGGCAAGTCCATTGATAAAGATAACAATTGGGGAAGGGACAGTTATCAAGATCCCTCCCCGTATCCATGGTGATGAGGTAGATGGAGAGGGACAGAGTCCAGTGAAGACACAAGAGACAGATTCTAATGATCAAACAAGTAGTTCAGAAGAAATGTCACCATACAAAAAGCTTAAAAGGGCATTTAAAAAACCAAAAGATAAGAAAGATTCAGAAAATAATTCTTCTGGAATTCAAATGTCTTATCTTGTATCTAGTCACCATAAAAAACACAAGCGGAAACATCGCCATCGTCATGGAAGTCATAGCAATGATAGTGATGTGTTTCAGCCAGAAGGTGATATGTTAGACATGTTTGATGAAAATGGTGAAACTCATTCAGAAACTACACAAACAGAGGTTATTTCTCAGCGTCCTCGACTCCTTTACACATGGCGACAAAACAAAGGACTTTCACCTAGGCGAGATATCAACAAAGGGCTTTCACCTCGGCGAGATGTCAACAAAGGGCTTTCACCAAGACAGGAAAACACATCATTCAGTAAGATTGACATATCTATGTCTCCAAAAATAGCACCAAACATAGAAAACACTTCATTTGGTAACCTGGACAAGGCTTTGTCTCCTAAAATTAAATCCAATGAAAATGTTGAGGTTCAGAAGAAAGAATATCGACTGAGAAGTCGAGAAAGGAATAGTACTGAATCTGAATCTGTGGACTCTGTTATAACAGATGATTCAGAAGAGTCATGTGAGGATGCCGATATGTTAGGTGATAGCTTTACAGTAAAGACTGTTCTGGACAGTGAAAATGACCATAGTGCAAAGTCAGAGGAATGTTCGGGAACAGAGGATGAGGAGGGGCCCCCTGGAGACACCAATATCGAGTCCCTACGACCTTTGATGATGAAAATTCAGACTCATGATGTCACAAAGTGTGTGGCTACGGATGGTAGGAGTATACATGTAGGGGACATTGTGTGGGGTAAAATACAGGGCTTTCCCTGGTGGCCTGGGCGTGTTCTCTCCATCACTGTAAGTCAGCGTGATAACGGAATCATGATTCGTCAGCTGGCTCATGTATCCTGGTTTGGGTCATCAACTATGTCTCACATACAGTGTTCAGACTTGTACCCATTCCTTGAAGACTTTAAACTACGGTTTAACAGGAAGAAACGTGGGCCTTACAAGATGGCAATTAAACAGGCCACAATAGCCGCACAGAGTATTACTAATACTCACCATATTGACTTCACAGAATTTGACTTATGACAGTAAGTACTTTGGAGTTTAAAGATTCAATTTGTATTTTAGTAATTTAAATAGAATTATTCATTTCATTTATTTTAGAACAATTGCAAGAAGTTATCATTTATTAATCACTCTTGTTAGCCAAGATGAAAGCTCGTGAGGGATCTTCAAAATTTTAATATTTAGAAGTTTTAAATTCAAGGAGTTGTTGTCAACTTTTATTGATTGAATAATATTAAATACTGAAAATACTCTTGTATATGATGAAAGTGGATGTAATTATAATATGATAATTAGGTACAGAATTATGTATGATTGATCAGAAACTGTAAGTAGATGAAACACATGCAATGACTTAAGAGTGATCTAGATATGATTAGGATAAAATTAGTAATTAAAATTGCTGATCATTTCAAAATTAATTTACTGATAAACACTTGCTGTTTACATTTCTATCAGATATGCATTGTTTCAAGATAAATTTACTAATCAAAATGTTTCACATGTTTATATAACACCATATGTATAATAGCAGAAATTTGTACATAGTAATAATTCCCAGTTGACAACTTATTACAGGTTCTCTCTGTACTTTTAATCAGCTTATGCCAATTATGTCACAATGTGGTATGATAATTCTTATTCTGACAGGGATATATCAGTGGCTGAATAGTTGTAATAGCATATAATAAAATTTAAATCCAGGCCTTAGTTGACCAATTCCTCTTTGTTATAAATATTTTCCGAACACAAATTGTTAAGTGTTTTCTTTGTTATTTTGAATGAATATGTAAAACAGCTCCTTTCTGATAATATGCATCAGAATAGCATAGAATTAAGTAAAAACTGTCTTAAAAAGATGTCTTTTACTCCTTAATTAAATAAAAGTTGTTGTAGGAGCTTCCAATTCAGTCTTCAGTAAACATAAGATTGGTGATATGCCCATTTGTGTATCTGTATATTATTACATATTTGTATTAACTATAGTTTGGTGAACTTTGTTGGACACGTCGTTGGTATTTCAGTATTGTTTGAAATATTATTGACAAAACTAATGAAAGTGATTAGAAACTGAAATAATGTAAATTTCATTATGCATTGACAATAATCATGCCGGATAAAGTTATGTATATATTGTAGTTCAGTAAAATTACAAGCCTTTTCATTGTCCTTTAAAAAGCTCACCTGCTGACTTTAAGATAATCTCATTAAAATCAGATGTTAATGAAATACTTGTACCTACATCTATTGTGGTACATGATGATGGACATATGTGTTTATTGGGATTGACTAAGAATTGATGTGTTGGCCTCCTGGGTTTATCATAGGAGGAATGTGGTGATGTGTCTTGTTTGAATATCGTCAGTATCTAAGGGACTTGTTTTGATTGTATATTTATTGTTTTAGTTGCAGATATGTTTGACTTTTGGAGACAGATGACCAGAAACCAAGGGCTGTCCTGTTTTTCCTTGGCAAAGTGGACACATGTGCATTGATAAGATATGTTAGTGATATTTCTGAAAGATATTTCTACATAACTACAGAGAATGTTCTATAATTATCAGTTGTTCTTTACTAGCTCTTGAACCAAGTACCTGGTACTTGTATTATTTGTCTCTTGGGATATAGAAGTGAAACAAGTTTACACAGAAATACAGATGTTTGGTAATGATTACGTGTATGATTTAGCTGTTCTGTTACCATTGATCTTTGGCCAGTTAATGACTTTGAGATATTAAAATGACTGCCTTTAGCTCTTTCACTAGACAGGAAGATTTCTCATTAACTAATGTTTATACAAGATTGTTAGGGATTTTATGTAAAAAGGGCACTTGTTAAATAATCTTTATTAAAACAGCCATTGTTAATTTTATCTTGGTCTGTCCATATGATTGTACTGAAATTGTTCATCCATCCTTTTAGGTGTTGTATGAGTGTTATATGACTCATTTAAATTGTATGTTAGTAAGTCAAAGTTCCTACCTTACAGCCCCAGCATATGTCTGTGTGTTCATGATATCATTTAATACTGGTTTTTCATGAATTTTCATCTTCCGTATTAATTAATTCTTGTATACATGTTAAATTTTCTTTACTTTGGGATATTTTTTCACTACTAAAATGTGTTTTTGCAATCAGAAATTTTAAGAATTAAGGTGTGAAGAATTTTTCTTTAGTTCTTATGATTACTTTGTAATGGTATTCAGGGTTTAGTACGTCTGCAGTTGGTGCATTGATTTATGTATTTTGTATAATTTTTTATATAAAAATTTCCTGGCTTTACTGTAAGTATCATTTGAAGGTTACTGTATGAATGTGGTATTAATTAAAAGAAGTAGTTAAAAAAAGATAACTTTTTTCCTGGAATGACACTTTGAAACTTGTCGAGAATAAATTGTCCTGATATCTTATTTAATAATGTTATGTATACACTGCACAGAATGTAGCAGTGGTGATGAAGTATAGTTTTGGTAATGTATTGTTTTATATAAAATATCAAAATGCTATATTAATGGTATATGTTGTTGATGGCTTTGGATGTAATTGTTTGATGGCCTGCATGCACCATCTTTCTGTTGTAGGAACACAAAAAAGTGGATGTGAATGTCACCTTGGAGTGATATTCTAGTGCTGTTGAAGTAACATGTTTAGTCACTGATCAAGTGTATATTTACTATGACTCAAAAATAGTAAGGCTAATAGTCTAAGGCCTGAGACATGCATTTTCATATGTCTATACTACTTGCAAATATCTTATCATGCTCAAAATATTTAGGATGCATGCTAAGTTAATACTGAAGATAGTGAAGTACTAGTTCCTTTGATAATTAGAACTCTTAAATTTTGAATAATGTTATTTATCTGAAGAAAATGTGTTTGTCCTCATATAACTATTATGAAAGATAGTGAAAAGTGCTTTAATTCCTTGTCCACTTCAGTAACTTCATAATGTGCTGTTCTGTTGAACTGAGTATCAATCCCCTCTGCAATTCAGCATGTACCCTCCTCGTGCCCAGTGACTGCTATATTATCCTAACCCCTTATCTGTTGATATGAATGACTATATACACCACTATCCTCTCTACTACACAGCACACTTTACCTGACCTTCGCTTAAGTGTGCTGCAGTAACTGCCTTAAGTATATATACATGGTAGATAGTCATATGACCAAAAGTGATGCATGTGCCCATAAACACACGAAATGGAGACCAACAAAATTGTTGAAGTGGCAGTGTTTTCAGGGCAATATTTCTGTGTGTTTTTGATGGTTAAATGACCATCCAGCTATATATACTTTTTTCAAACACTCTGCTGAAGGGACAGTAAGTGTTGCTGTTTTCAAATTGAAGACATCTTTGTGAACAGGAATCACCTCTTCTACATATTTGTTGGTTACCATTTTGTGTGTTCATGTGATGGTCACTTTATGTCCTATGATTCCCTATCATGATATAATGCTGTGATATAGATGCTTTTGAGATTACAAGAGTTTGTATTTCGATTTACTGTTTATATAATAAAGGTATTATCACAGGTTAACTTTAACATATCTAATTTTGTTGTAGTTCTTGATGAGTTTATTGTTTTGTTTTTAATCAATGTATGTCTGTCGTTTTTTTTTTTTTTTTTTTTTATTTTACATTTGTACTTCATATAAGGGGAGATAATTCAATTATTTCCCACTTTCAATAATATGTTGTTTAATTTTGCTTACTGAATGCAAAATATAAAAAACTATCATATGTTGCAGAATGTTATATCCTGTGCATGTTAATTGTATATCTAGTCTTATGAAAATGTAATTAAATAATTAATTCTTGAAATCAAATAACACCAAACTTTTCTTTCTAAATATTTCAAACTATTTTGAAGAATCATATAATTACATTGTTTATAATATCATCGAAGCTCTCTTGATTTGATAAGTAGTTTGTGATTGTAGGATTCTCTGTTAGCTAATGAATCACAATTTCTGCCTGTGGGTAGTTCAGATGGACTGCAGGTGATGGTAAAATGCTGGTACAGGTTTTACAATATATAGAATCATGAAATAAGTAATATAAACTAACAAAGGAAATCCAGGGTTTGAACATCATCCTTTTTTCAGATGAAACTTTGTACAAACAAACTATTATAAGGCACATTCAGTGATTTTGGAGTGAAATATATTTTAACTCTCACACTTGGTAGTAGCTTTATAAATGATGTCATGGTACAACTCGATATTCTACTAAATCGAGCATCTAAATATGACAAATTAGTGCAATATATGTACGGTATGACAATTATGTACACAATTTTGTTCTATCTTTAAGATACATGTATTTGATTAAAGTTTGATAGACTAAATAAATTTGGAACTTTCAGTTTATTTACATGTATAATTCTGTCAGATTTTTTTGTATGATTTTCTCACTTTTTATCATCGATATATTCATCTTACCATCTGTGTTCAGGCATATTTCATTAGAGATTCAAATGTATACATGAAAAGGGCAGAAAGATGTTATTATTAAGATTTAAGATGATGATATAGTTTATCTGTACATATGTACAAGTACCTTGTTGCCAAAACATGTGGAATGAAAAATGATTTGGTCGTATACCTCTGACAGGAAAATCTCCCCCAGTACCAGTTTTCATTATACCTTGGTCATATTTACATAGATTTGGTGCCAATTTTCAGGTGTGCTCATTTAGTCCTTCATTAAGCTTAAAGTTAGTTTTCAAGTGTCAGTATTAAAATTGACGGTTCATGACATTTTGAATTTTTCTTTTGATTATGGCATTTGAGGAAGTTCAGTGCACAAAGGAAAGGAATTTTTGTATCCCCTTAAACTATTACATATTGAATGCTAGATGAGTAGTTATGTAGATCACACAGGGAAAACTGAAATATACTGTGTAAAAATTTTCCTTTTTAGTCAGTAAAGTATGTTATAAAATGAGATTTATTTGGATACTTGCTCAAAGTCTAATCGTACATCAATACATCATATCAGTATGTCAAA